GTTGGAGTGGGGAGAGAGTGGAAGCACAGGACTGCTAAATAACTAGCCCTAGTAATATGCACTGGGAGCACAGACACTCATTGCTTGGTGTGCTGGATATTAGAGAAACAGAAGGGTAGGGTCCGAGATGGAGATTGGGAGCAGATCGCCATAGCTGGCTCCCCTGGGACAAAAGAAAAGTGGGCACTTTTCAAAAGTATTAAAGGGACAAGGGCTCAACAGCTGAACAAAACTGTGCCAGCACACTCAGCCCAGCAGGCTGAGAATCTTGAAACTTTGGGCCCCCTAACTTCCTGGGGGTAAAGCAGCCCTAAAGCCCCTCACGGTGATAAGAAGCCTGAAATTCATTCCCGCCCGTGGCACTACAAGCAAACTGGCTGACCCTCCACAGCTGTAGAGCAGCTGGAAAGCAGGCCTGCCCACAGCAACCACACAGAGTCTCCTCCCAGTGCGCAGCTAACCAGGACAGGCAGAAGACGCTGGAGCAAGGTCCAGAACACGTGAAGGGGCAACGTTCTTGCAGAACACACTGGGGCAGCTACGACTCCCTGCAAGGCTCTAGGCTAGCCCGGGGGCTGCCCCGCCCATGGCAGCTCAGGAGATTGTCCCAGAGTTTGCTCCCGGTGTGCAGGTAACCGGCACAGGCAGCAGAGAAGGACAAGACGACCAACAAACAGGAAGGGACTTTGTTCTCCCAGCTGACACATGTGCCACCTGCCTGCAAACACTTCTACCACCATGAAAAGGCAGAAGAATATGGTCCAGTCAAAAATTACTCAGACAACCCCAGAGAGAGGGCCTGGTGAGATACATGTAATGAATCTTCCTGAAAAAGAATTCAAAATAAAACTCTTAACAATGCTGATGGACCTGCAGAAAAATATGCAAGAGCTAAGGGATGAAGTCCAAAAGGAGACAACAGAAATGAAACAATCGACAGAAGGGCTTAAGAGTGGACTGGACGAGGTGCAAGAGACTGTTAATGGAATAGAAATCAGAGACCAGGAATACAGAGAAGCTGAGGCAGAGAGACATAAAAGCATCTCTAGGAATAAAAGACTATTAAGAGAACTGTGTGACCAATCCAAGTGGAACAATATTCGCATTATAGAGGTGCCAGAAGAAGAAGAGAGAGAAAAAGGGATAGAAAGTTTCTTTGAAGAAATAATTGCTGAAATTGTTCCCAAGCTAGGGAAGGAAATAGTCTCTCAGACCAAGGAAGCCCACAGATCTTCCAAAACAAGTGACCCAAGGAGGACAACACCAAGACATATAATAATTAAAATGGCAAAGATCAAAGACAAGGGCAGAGTATTAAAGGCAACCAGAGAGAGAAAAAAGATTACCTACAAAGGAAAACCCATCAGGCTTTCATCAGACTTCTCAACAGAAACCTTACAGGCCAGAAGAGAATGGCATGATATATTTAATGCAATGAAACAGAAGGGCCTTGAACCAAGAATACTGAATCCAGCACAATTATCATTTAAATTTGAAGGAGGGATTAAACAATTTCCAGACAAGCAAAAGTTGAGGGAATTTGCCTCCCACAAACCACCACTACAGGGTATTTTAAAGGGACTGCTCAAGATGGAAGCAATCTTAAGACTTGTCACCAAAGAAAATAAAGTTACACCAAAGAAAGCAGTTCAACCAAATACTAACTAAAGCCAAAAAATAAAATCAACTATGCACAAAATCAGTCAAAGGAAATACAAAAGAGTACAGAATAAAACACCTAACACATAAAGAATGGAGGAGGAAGAATAAGAAGGGAGAGAAATAAAGAATCATCAGACTGTGTTTATAATAGCTTAATAAAAGAGTTAAGTGAGTTAGTTAGATAATAAGGAGCTACCCTTGAATCTTTGGTAACCATGAATCCAAAGCCTGCAATTGCAACAAGTACATATCTATTGATAATCACCCTAAATGTAAATGAACTCAATGCACCAATCAAAATACACACAGTAATAGAATGGATAAAAAAGCAAGATCCACCTATATGCTGCTTACAAGAGACTCACCTCAAACCCAAATATAAAAGTGAAGGGATGGAAAAAGATATTTCATGCAAACAATGGGGAGAAAAAAAGGTGTTGCAGTACTTGTACCAGACAAAATAGACCTCAAAACAAAGAAAGTAACAAGAGATAAAGATATTATAAATATCTATGCAACCAACACAGAAGCACCGACATATGTGAAACAAAGACTAACAGAATTAAAGGAGGAAATACAATGGAATGTATTCATTCTAGGAGACATCAACACACCACTCACTTCAAAGGACAGATCAACCAGACAGAAAATAAGTAAGGACACAGAGGCACTGAACAACACACTACAACAAATGGACCCAACAAAAATCTACAGAACTCTACACCCAAAAGCAGCAGAATACACATTCTTCTCAAGTGCACATGGAATATTTTCCAGAATAGACCACATACTAGGCCACAAAAATAGCCTCAGTAAATTCAAAAAGATTTAAATTCTACAGATCACAAAGGTATAAAACTAGAAGTAAATTGTACAAAGAAAACAAAAAGGCTCACAAACACATGGAGGCTTAACAACATGCTCCTAAATGATCAGTGGATCAATGGCTAAATTAAAACAGAGATCAAGCAATATATGGAGACAAATGACAACAACAGCACAAAGCCCAACTTCTCTGCAACACAGCAAAGGCAGTTCTAAGAGGAAAGTATACAGCAATCCAGGCCTATTTAAAGAAGGAAGAACAATCCCAAATGAATAGTCTAAAGTCACAATTATTGATACTGGAAAAAGAAGAACAAATGAGGCCCAAAGTCAGCAGAATGAGGGACATAATAAAGATTAGAGAAGAAATAAATAATAAGAGAATAAAACAATAAAAAAGTCAATGAAACCAAGAGCTGGTTTCAAAGTCTGGGCTGGGTACAAATGCATAAATATTTGCCAATGCTGTGTGATTCTTTGCTCTTGGCGCCTATCAGCTCTCTGGCTTGCTTGTCCTTCTGGCTGGGGTGAGGAGGAGGTGGGCATTAAAAACTGTAATAACAAAAGCAATCATTCAGGTCACGAAGATACCAAAGCAAAAGAGATGTCTGGACTGTTGTTTTCCTGACTTATTTATGTCTCAAAACAATGAGGATCTCCCACAGTCTTCAAGAGTAAGAGTGAGGTGTGTCCAAGTTTCCAAGGACTAAGAGCTTCCTAGCTCTCTCCCTTCTTGATGTGTGCTCGTCCCTAGCCTCTCCGATTCCCCCTGCACTCTGCTGCTTCCCTGCGGGGCTGTCCTGCTGACCCACCAGGAACCAGGCTGTGCAGCTCCTTTGCTGTGTCTTGCTGCCTCCAGTCACTGGCCTTCCAGGAAATGAGCAGGAAGTCATCTGACCATGCAGCCATCTTTCGCAGAAACTGGGCGCCCACTGAACACGCTCCCTGATCAGATCACTCTCCTGGATCCCAAGACCTTCCAAGATCTCTTGCACAGTGCCCTCCTTAGCCCCTCTGCCTGAGCACCTATCCAGCATAGCTCTGGGGATGGCCCTGGAGGAGGTTGGCTGCCCAATAGAGGCCCATGCTCTGAAGCTTCAGCTTGTTAGGATAGGAGGAAAGGACACCACTGAAACCTTCATCTGTGAGAGTAAAAAACACAACGAGGAAGAAGGGATCACTAAGTTCCTCCTGGGGGACCTGGGGAGGACACACAGGACACACAGGAGAGAGCTTGGATAAATCCAACCCTCAGTTACTCAGCCTAAGGAATGTATTGATGGTGGCAAATATAACCTCTGGGTTGGCTAATCTGCCAGTTAGCTCAGACGGTAAGTTTGTTGAGAAGCCATTTCCCATATTTCTGGTGACACAGGTCAAAGTTTTTGCTCTCAAAGTCCCTTAGAACTGCATGTGTGATTCTTGGGTGCATGTTGAGAATTGGGCAAAAAGCTGAAGAAACTCCGGGTTACGGACCTCTCCGTGTCTATGGATGATGACAGTGTAATTTATCATATGTCTCACAGTTACTCTGAAGTGCTTCCTGGGTAAACTGGTTCAGGAATTTGGCTGGGCTCACTACACATATTCATTGCCACCTAGGCAACAGATTTCCTTTCTGAGGACTGTGTTCAAGCACGTGCCACAGTAAGCAGTTAGTAGTGCAGGAGACCACTTAGGACAGAGGTATGCTCTTTATTTAATCCCAGTGCTAAAATACACATGTGATTGGTATTAGCCTTGCCCCTTTCTACTTAGTAGTTCCCAGCCCCTATTTCTTATTCTATTTTCCTTTTTTCTTTTCTTTCTTTCAGTCATCATATGCTGTGCACGTAACATGCACTAAGCATGAGAGGTATTTTAAACTTTTCTCATGCAACCACCCTGACCTAAATCCCCAGCTAGATGCTATAGCTTGCTAACTTAATTTTTAAACTGAAAAGAGAAATAAAACAGGAGAAAATCATAAATTTCTGATCTCTCTTGGTAGGGTTTCCCACTTCTATTATGAGCTAGAGTGGGAATGAGGCAGGAACATGTAGGAAATGCCAAAGAACAGGTATTTGAGGTATTGAGGTGAAGTGTGTGACAAGGAGTGAAGGTTTGAGTAGCCAGTACAAATAACAAATATTTGCAGAGATTACATCTCTTACTGATCACAGGGAAAAGCAAATATCTTCTTTCTCCATGGGACAGAGAAGTGAGCAGAACAAGATCAAGGACTAGCCAAACCTATCAAGGGTCTCATCTCTCAATGATTAGACTGTGTGGTTATTTGCAGTCCCCTATAAGTAGGTGGAAAGAAAGCAGAGGAAGTGCCTGGTGACCTGTACATGGGGAGGGCCGAGTGGGAATAAGTAAGTTGTGCCCTGCTTAGGGTTTTACCTAAAAAGAAGCTTGGAGATGGTGGGCGAGGTCTGCCCTGACTCTTGAGCTCCTTTCAGACCACAGCCCTTAGGGAAATGGTTTGTAATGTTTCTCATCTCCCCTTCCCAGGGCCCTCTGGTCCAGACATGCACAGCATCAGAATCTTCTAGATACAAGTTTCACTGCTTCTCTGCTCCCTCCTGCTGTCCCCTATGGATGCCACTTTATATGAAAACAAGACAAATGTTCTGAACCTTTCCTCATCCTCAGGAGCCTGGCCACCTTTCTCAGAGCCCTTGTGCTGTCAGGCCCTGCTCCCACAGTCCCTGCCTGGCTTCACCCACATGGTCCCTCTACCCAAGTTCCTGGTAGGTCTGCCACTAATGATTGCCTTGGAGGAAATTGGCTGCTATGCTGATATCTGGGCCCTGAAGCTTCAACTCTTACCACCAGGGAGGTATAAAAACTACAGTTTCTCATCCAACATCTTCAAGGGCTCCAGAAAGACAGAAACACAGGGAGGAGAGTGTCAGTGGGTGCCCTGGCCTCTACTCTGCAGCTATTGGCCGTGGGGCAGCCAGGCCCAGAAAGGGCCCAATGCTCCCTCCCTATCAAGGACTGTGAGCTCGAATAGGAACAAAGTGTGCACCAGATCGTCCAGATGTTGCCGGGGACAGAAACTTACTACAACGTGGGCACAGTTTTGTATTATGCTGCTCAGAACTGCTTGGACAAAGCCAAGGAACAAGGCCAAGATGGGGTCATAAATCTGGGTTATGCCCTTCTGGTGACCATGGCTGGACTGACAGGGCCCACAGGACTTCTGTTCAGCACTGTGCTTAAACCTGCAGTGAAGGATGGGGTCCAACAGTTGATCCAGTACTACAGTGAGAGAAAGGCCAACACCCCTCCTGCTGAGACAAGCAACAAGGGATTGGGGGCACCTCAGATGTGAGTGACTGGGAAGAAACTACCCTGGCCCCCTTGGTGTCAGATGTGGGGTCTTCAGCTCCTTCCTGGGGATAGGCCTTTTTCAAGGGCTAAGACTTAGGTCCTGGGAAAGGGAGTCTTGGGATATAAAAGAAAGTGGTGTTAGGCAGGAAAATAGATGAGTGGAGTGGAAAGAGAAAAAGGCCTAAAAGTCCATTAAAAAGACCCAAAATTAATCAATTAAAGCTCAAAAATCTTGTCCGGGAATATTTTGATATTCCCCAGATAAAGGAGGAAACCTCCGCTTAGCCCATGTCTTTATTGTGTTAAACTTGCAGGCCCAGCTGTAAACAACACAGTGAAAGGCAGGAAGGATTTCATCTTAAAGATTGTATTTTAAATACCCAGGAAGTTAAAAATGTAAGATTCTTAACTTACTCTTTAGCAAACAGACAATAACTCAGCCCACCTTGGGGGCTTGGCAGGCAGCCTGTTTGATATGCTCCCAGACCAAGACACCAGTATCCCAGGGAGAAATCAGAGCAGGAAGTTCCTTGTGTTAAGTTAATTCTAAGCATTCAAAGACCACTTAACAAGTCTGCACCCCCAGCCCTTAGTTACATTCTTAAAGAATCCTTAAAAGGGGGAAACCTCCAACCTTTCAGAGTGCTCCTCTCTGAAGTCGCCCGCACTTTCTAAGTGCATAAACTTTTAACTTTAAACTCTCTCTTTTCAACCTTTCAGGGGGTGCTCCTCTCTCTGAGGTCACCCACATTTTCTAAGTGTGTAACCTTTTAATATTAAACTTTCTCTCTCTAAACCTTTCAGGGCACCTCTCCTTGCTGAGGTGGCCTGTACTTTTTCTCTCTTAAGTAACCTTATATAAAACTTTTACTCTGCTTCACTGCTGTGTCTCTGCCCTTCGATTCTTTGTCGCAGTGGGACAAGGACCACAGAAAATGCACAACACTCCCCCAACTGTAGGAAACAGGATGAATAAATCAAACATTCTGACACACCCTGTGTGTATGTGCACACATTCAAAATCCAAATCTCTGATTTGTTATCGAGGAGGAAGGCAGAGCCGTAAAATGTAGCAATTTTAAAGGCTAGGGTTTGAAATCAGATGATTTGATTTTGAATCTAGGATTTACCTGCAAGAGCTTCAGAGATCCCTGACTAGAAATGTAACCTCTTTCTCAGAGCCCAGTTTTTTAAATTTCTAAAGTGGGGAAAATAATTTTCACCTCTGGGGTTTGTGGACATTAAAAAAAATACAGTGGGAGTCAAGAATTCAAGATGGTGGTATGAGAGGTGAGATGGAAAACTCCTCCAAAAACTACATATAGTGTGAAAATATAGTTAATACAACTAACTAGTCCTAAAACAGCAACAGGAAAGAAGGTTGCACCAGACTGCACACAGACCTCATGAACAGAGCAGACTTCATGAAACAGTGTAACAACGTAGGAAAGCTTTGATCCGGTGGGACCCAAGCCCTTTCCCCACCCCAGCTCATGGTGGAAGAGAAATGGAGCGGGAGGGGGTGGAAGCCTGGGACAGCTGAACACCCAGCCCTGGAGGTCTGCTTTGGACCACAAACCTACATTGTGTGGTGCTCTGGAGGTTGCTGGGGTTGGGGAGCTGGGACAGCGGAGTGCTTGAGAGACTGAGATTCCAGCCATTTGTGGAGGATGCGGATCCACATCTGGCCACTCTGAGACAAAGGAAAGGCAGGCAGTCTGAGAGGCTTCCTAGCAGCAAGAGGGCTGCTGAAGGGAAGGGGTTTGCACAGAGCTTGCTACGAGGGAGAAGGGATAGGTGGACAAGGTTGTCTGGGCATACTCTGCCCAGCAGGTTGGGAACTTCGAGGAGCTTCAGGCACTCCATCCCACTGGCTGCCCACTCAGCTCCAAGGCCCCCACTGTGACACGCAGCCTGTTGCACCTTCCTCCTGGCCTGCCGGCACCTGCTCACAAACTGGCAGTCACTGTGCTGCAGTCAGGCCAGACAGAGGGAGGCACCACCTACAACAGCTAGAGACACCAAGCACAGAGGCTTATACCTGTGTGCTCAGCCCACAGGCTCTGACACTGGAGACAGGCCTGCCCTGCAGCCAGGAAGCAGGAAACAGCTCTTTCCTCCCCCCAGGCACCAGCTCTGATCCCCTACAACTCCCAACCTCACTATATGGACTGAGCAACTCCAGAGAATGGAGCTTCTGGGAACTAAAAGGCACCACAGAGATTTGTGAAACATCAAAGGAACCTGGTTCAAAGCAAAATCTCACAAATTCCTGAAACAGGGCCAAATAAAACTGAACTCACCAATCTTCCTGAAAGAGAGTTTAAAATAAAGATCATAAACAGGGGCCTCAAGATGGCGGCATGAGTAGGGCGGCAGAAATCCCTCCCAAAACCATCTATATTTTTGAAAATACAACAAATACAACTATTCCTAAAAGAGAGACCACAGGATACACTACAACAGCCAGGCTACATCTACATCTTTGAGAACTCAGTATTTCACGAAGGGGGTAAGATACAAAGCCATCAACCGGCGGGACCCAAACACTTCCCCCACCCCAGCTCACCAGCAGAAGGAAAGGAGTTGGAGTGGGGAGAGAGTGGAAGCACAGGACTGCTAAATAACTAGCCCTAGTAATATGCACTGGGAGCACAGACACTCATTGCTTGGTGTGCTGGATATTAGAGAAACAGAAGGGTAGGGTCCGAGATGGAGATTGGGAGCAGATCGCCATAGCTGGCTCCCCTGGGACAAAAGAAAAGTGGGCACTTTTCAAAAGTATTAAAGGGACAAGGGCTCAACAGCTGAACAAAACTGTGCCAGCACACTCAGCCCAGCAGGCTGAGAATCTTGAAACTTTGGGCCCCCTAACTTCCTGGGGGTAAAGCAGCCCTAAAGCCCCTCACGGTGATAAGAAGCCTGAAATTCATTCCCGCCCGTGGCACTACAAGCAAACTGGCTGACCCTCCACAGCTGTAGAGCAGCTGGAAAGCAGGCCTGCCCACAGCAACCACACAGAGTCTCCTCCCAGTGCGCAGCTAACCAGGACAGGCAGAAGACGCTGGAGCAAGGTCCAGAACACGTGAAGGGGCAACGTTCTTGCAGAACACACTGGGGCAGCTACGACTCCCTGCAAGGCTCTAGGCTAGCCCGGGGGCTGCCCCGCCCATGGCAGCTCAGGAGATTGTCCCAGAGTTTGCTCCCGGTGTGCAGGTAACCGGCACAGGCAGCAGAGAAGGACAAGACGACCAACAAACAGGAAGGGACTTTGTTCTCCCAGCTGACACATGTGCCACCTGCCTGCAAACACTTCTACCACCATGAAAAGGCAGAAGAATATGGTCCAGTCAAAAATTACTCAGACAACCCCAGAGAGAGGGCCTGGTGAGATACATGTAATGAATCTTCCTGAAAAAGAATTCAAAATAAAACTCTTAACAATGCTGATGGACCTGCAGAAAAATATGCAAGAGCTAAGGGATGAAGTCCAAAAGGAGACAACAGAAATGAAACAATCGACAGAAGGGCTTAAGAGTGGACTGGACGAGGTGCAAGAGACTGTTAATGGAATAGAAATCAGAGACCAGGAATACAGAGAAGCTGAGGCAGAGAGACATAAAAGCATCTCTAGGAATAAAAGACTATTAAGAGAACTGTGTGACCAATCCAAGTGGAACAATATTCGCATTATAGAGGTGCCAGAAGAAGAAGAGAGAGAAAAAGGGATAGAAAGTTTCTTTGAAGAAATAATTGCTGAAATTGTTCCCAAGCTAGGGAAGGAAATAGTCTCTCAGACCAAGGAAGCCCACAGATCTTCCAAAACAAGTGACCCAAGGAGGACAACACCAAGACATATAATAATTAAAATGGCAAAGATCAAAGACAAGGGCAGAGTATTAAAGGCAACCAGAGAGAGAAAAAAGATTACCTACAAAGGAAAACCCATCAGGCTTTCATCAGACTTCTCAACAGAAACCTTACAGGCCAGAAGAGAATGGCATGATATATTTAATGCAATGAAACAGAAGGGCCTTGAACCAAGAATACTGAATCCAGCACAATTATCATTTAAATTTGAAGGAGGGATTAAACAATTTCCAGACAAGCAAAAGTTGAGGGAATTTGCCTCCCACAAACCACCACTACAGGGTATTTTAAAGGGACTGCTCAAGATGGAAGCAATCTTAAGACTTGTCACCAAAGAAAATAAAGTTACACCAAAGAAAGCAGTTCAACCAAATACTAACTAAAGCCAAAAAATAAAATCAACTATGCACAAAATCAGTCAAAGGAAATACAAAAGAGTACAGAATAAAACACCTAACACATAAAGAATGGAGGAGGAAGAATAAGAAGGGAGAGAAATAAAGAATCATCAGACTGTGTTTATAATAGCTTAATAAAAGAGTTAAGTGAGTTAGTTAGATAATAAGGAGCTACCCTTGAATCTTTGGTAACCATGAATCCAAAGCCTGCAATTGCAACAAGTACATATCTATTGATAATCACCCTAAATGTAAATGAACTCAATGCACCAATCAAAATACACACAGTAATAGAATGGATAAAAAAGCAAGATCCACCTATATGCTGCTTACAAGAGACTCACCTCAAACCCAAATATAAAAGTGAAGGGATGGAAAAAGATATTTCATGCAAACAATGGGGAGAAAAAAAGGTGTTGCAGTACTTGTACCAGACAAAATAGACCTCAAAACAAAGAAAGTAACAAGAGATAAAGATATTATAAATATCTATGCAACCAACACAGAAGCACCGACATATGTGAAACAAAGACTAACAGAATTAAAGGAGGAAATACAATGGAATGTATTCATTCTAGGAGACATCAACACACCACTCACTTCAAAGGACAGATCAACCAGACAGAAAATAAGTAAGGACACAGAGGCACTGAACAACACACTACAACAAATGGACCCAACAAAAATCTACAGAACTCTACACCCAAAAGCAGCAGAATACACATTCTTCTCAAGTGCACATGGAATATTTTCCAGAATAGACCACATACTAGGCCACAAAAATAGCCTCAGTAAATTCAAAAAGATTTAAATTCTACAGATCACAAAGGTATAAAACTAGAAGTAAATTGTACAAAGAAAACAAAAAGGCTCACAAACACATGGAGGCTTAACAACATGCTCCTAAATGATCAGTGGATCAATGGCTAAATTAAAACAGAGATCAAGCAATATATGGAGACAAATGACAACAACAGCACAAAGCCCAACTTCTCTGCAACACAGCAAAGGCAGTTCTAAGAGGAAAGTATACAGCAATCCAGGCCTATTTAAAGAAGGAAGAACAATCCCAAATGAATAGTCTAAAGTCACAATTATTGATACTGGAAAAAGAAGAACAAATGAGGCCCAAAGTCAGCAGAATGAGGGACATAATAAAGATTAGAGAAGAAATAAATAATAAGAGAATAAAACAATAAAAAAGTCAATGAAACCAAGAGCTGGTTCTCTGAGAAAATAAACAAAACAGATAAACCCCTAGTCACACTTATTAAGAGAAAAAGAAAATGTACACATATAAACAGAATCAGAAATGAGAAAGGAAAAAGTCACAGCAGACCCCACAGAAACGCAAAGAATTATTAGAGAATACTATGAAAATCTATATGCCAACAAGCTGGAAAACCTAGAAGAAATGAACAACTTCCTAGAAAAATAAAACCTTCCAAGACTGACCATGAAAGAAACAGAAAATCTAAACAGACCAATTACCAGCAATGAAATTGAATCAGTAATCAAAAAACTACCCAAGAACAAAATTCCCAGGCCAGATGGATTCATCGCTGAATTTTACCAGACATATAGAGAAGACATAATACCAATTTTCCTTAAAGTTTTCCAAAAAATAGAAGAGGAGGGAATACTTCCAAACTCATTTCATGAAGCCAGCATCACTCTAATACCAAAACCAGGCAAAGATCCCACCAAAAAAGAAAATTACAGACCGATATCCCTGATGAACATAGATGCAAAAATACTCAACAAAATATGAAGAAACTGTATTCAAAAATACATCAAGAGGATTGTACACCATGATCAAGTGAGATTCATCTCAGGGATGCAAGGATGGTACATTTGAAAATACATCAACATCATCCACCACATAAACAAAAAGAAGGACAAAAACCACATGATCAGCTCCATAGATGCTGAAGCAGCATTTGACAAAATTCAACATCCATTCATGATAAAAACACTTAACAAAATGAGTATAGAGGGCAAGTACCTCAACATAATAAAGACTATATGATAAACCCACAGCCAACATCATACTGAACAGCGAGAAGCTGAAAGCTTTTCCTCTGAGATCGGGAACAAGACAGGGATACCCACTCTCCTCACTGTTATTCAACATAGTGCTGGAGGTCCTAGCCACGGCAATCAGAAAACACAAAGAAATAAAAGGCATCCAGATAGGCAAGGAAGAAGTTAAACTGTCACTGTTTGCAGATGACATGGTATTGTACATAAAAAAAACCCTAAGAACTCCACTCCAAAACTACCAGAACTAATATCGGAATTCAGCAAAGTTGCAGGATTCAAAATTAATACACAGAAACCTGTGGCTTTCCTATACACTAACAATTAACTACTAGAAAGAGAAATCAGGAAAACAATTCCATTCACAATTGCATCAAAAAGAATAAAATACATAGGAATAAACCTAACCAAGGTATTGAAAGACCTATATCCTGAAAACTATAAGACACTCTTAAAAGAAATTAAAGAGGACACTAACAAACAGAAACTCATCCCATGCTCTTGGCTAGGAATAATTAATGTCGTCAAAATGGCCATCCTGCCCAAAGCAATATACAGATTTGATGCAATCCCTGTCAAATTACCAACAGCATTCTTCAATGAACTGAATCAAATAGTTCAAAAATTCATATGGAAACACCAAAGACCCCAAATAGCCAAAGCAATCCTGAGAAGGAAAAATAAAGTGGGGGGGATCTTGCTCCCCAACTTCAAGCTCTAAAACAAAGCCACAGTAATCAAAACAATTTGGTACTGGCACAAGAACAGAGCCACAGACCAGTGGAACAGAAAAGACTCCAGACATTAACCCAAATATATAAGGTCAATTAATATACAATAAATGAGCCATGGACATACAATGGGGAAATGACAGCCTCTACAAAAGTTGTTGATGGCAAAACTGGACAGCTACATGTAGGAGAATGAAACTGGATCACTGTCTAACCCCATACACAAAAGTAAATTCGAAATGGATCAAAGACCTGAATGTAAGTCATGAAACCATAAAACTCTTGGAAGAAAACATAGGCAAAAATCTCTTGGACATAAACATGAGTGACTTCTTCATGAACATATCTCCCAAGACAAGGGAAACAAAGGCAAAAATAAACAAGTGGGGCTATATCAAGCTAAAAAGCTTCTGTACAGCAAAGGACACCATCAATAGAACAAAAAAGGTATCCTACAGTATGGGAGAATATATTCATAAATGACAGACCTGATAAAGGGTTGACATCCAAAATATATAAAGAGCTCACGCACCTCAAAAAACAAAAAGCAAATAATCCAATTAAAAAATGGGTAGAGGAGCTGAACAGACAGTTCTCCAAAGAAGAAAGTCAGATGGCCAACAGACACATGAAAAGATGCTCCACATCGCTAATCATCAGAGAAATGCAAATCAAAACCACAAAGAGATATCACCTCACACCAGTAAGGATTGCCACCATCCAAAAGTCAAAGAACAACAAATGTTGGTGAGGTTGTGGAGAAAGGGGAATCCTCCTACACTGCTGGTGGGAATGTAAATTAGTTCAATCATTGTGGAAAGCAATATGGAAGTTCCTCAAAAAGCTCAAAATAGAAATACCATTTGACCCAGGAATTCCACTCCTAGGAACTAACCCTAAGAATACAGCAGCCCACTTTGAAAAAGACAGATGTACCCCTATGTTTATCGCAGCACTATTTACAATAGCCAAGAAATGGAAGCAACCTAAGTGTCCATCAGTAGATGAATGGATAAAGAAGATGTGGTACATATATATACACAATGGAATATTACTCAGCCATAAGAAGATAACAAATCCTACCATTTGCAACAACATGGATGGAACTAGAGGGTATTATGTTCAGTGAAATAAGCCAGGTGGAGAAAGACAAGTATCAAATGATTTCACTCATATTTGGGGTATAAGAACAAAGCAAAAACTGAAGGAACAAAACAGCATCAGACTCACAGAACCCAAGAATAGAGTAAGTTACCAAAGGGAAGGGGATTGGGGAGGATGGGTTGGAAGTGAGGGATAAGGGGGAAAAGGGGGCATCACGATTAGCACGTATAATGTGGGGGGGAGGACACGGGGAAGGCAGTAAAACACAGAGAAGACAAGTAGTGATTCTATAGCATTTTACTATGCTGATGGACAGTGACCGTAAAGGGATATGTGGTGGGGACTTGATAATAGGGGGATTCTCGTAACCATAACGTTGTTCATGTAATTGTACATTAATAATAGCAGAATAAAAATAAAATAAATAAATATTGAAAGGGAAAAATAAAAAAAGAGAGTCACTGAATTAAAAAAAAAACAAAACAGTGAACCTAAGGTGCTTAGCCCAAATCCATCAAAAAAATGGCTACTATATTTTATTACCTTAGCCTTCCCCTTCCTGTCCCACAACGACGAAACCCTGCCCCGCCTCTTCCTCTGGGCCCGCAGCGTCCTCACCTCTCCCGGGGGGTCTCGATCCGGTGGCCGCTCAAATTCTCGGAAATCAGCTCTTCCGTTCGGGCACTTCCGTTGATTGGACTCCACCTTTCGCCGGCGCGGCGCGGTGACGCCATGCTCCTTCCCGCCAGTCGCCGGTGCCGGGAGTGCGACCTCTGCCCTGCTCGCCCCGCCCCGGGGTCGGAAAGAGTTGTAGCAGCGCCAATGAGCTCACAGCCTGTGAGAGGAGGCTGCCGAGGGCGGGGCAGCGGGCGCAGCGCCCCCGGAAATCCTAAGCCTGGGACTGAGCCGCTGGAGCAGCGGGTACCTGAAACCGCGGTCAGGTACGGGCCCGCGAGGGCGCTCGGTCCTGGTGGAGGTGCGAGTCCCTCTCTGGGAAGGGCGGCGGGCCCCGGAGGCCCTAGTCTGTGTCCCCAAGTTAAGTAGGGGTTGTAGCCCTCTCTGCTTCCTAGATCTTCTCCCCCTGTCCAGCTAGTCCCCAACCCTAACGCCCTCCACCTCCCAAAACTTCCCTGCAGCCTCCAAGACCCGAAATACGGTTGCTGGTTCCGTGTCTCAGCCAACGCTTTTGGCTACTAGGCTGTTGTTTTTTATCAATCCCCCCACCCCCAAAAAAATGTTTAATTTAACAACCTTATTTGTTGGAAATATAGAGAAAGGTGAAACGATTTGCGAAAGGTCACCTACAAAACGCGCTTCATTTCAGCAAAGCTTACTGAGCACACAATATGTGCTCGGGAAAGTGAGGGACAACTGGAGAAAAACTTAAGCATTTACAGCCCTCAAGTATTTGCAGTTCGTTTGCGAAGACCGGGTTTGTTCTTGCTTTGTTTGACGTTTTCAAGTAAACCTCACGGTTTATTACCACCTGCTCTTTTAACACCATCTGATTAGTTCCTTGAGAACTGCGGCCTCTTCGCTTGCTTTTTATAAGCAATACAGGAAGATAGTTTTTAAAAAATCAAGCACTGTTTAAAGAGGTAAAATGAAAAATAGGAGCCTCTGCTCAGTCCTTTCCTTCCTGTTCCTTCTTCCCCGAGGTAGAAACGCAGCTCATGATTATTCATACTGGTGAAAAAGAATCTCTACCCCAGACATTTTTCTTTGAGTTGTAACAAAATCATGTGACCTTTTTTAGTCCACAGATGGGCGTTTTTTTTTCTGTTAAGGCTCAGGCTGCAAGAATTAAGTTTTGATTTCCTGAATCTAACAGTGGGCGGGGAAAGGTAGGGAGAAAGATTCTCCATCTAGCCTGCTTAGTGACAGGCAGAAACCAGTTTTGAATGAAATTTATGAGCTCACAAAGTTGATAATCTACATGAAAAACCAGAGATTGACAGAGCTCGTAAAAGTGTCACAATCTTAGGAATTGAGTGACCCCTTGGCACAGTATTTAAGCATCTTCTAGAATGGTGCTCCTCCTTCCTCCCATGGAAAGGAGTTCATAAGGTGTATCTTATCTCCAAGATTTCAGTCTCTGATAAAACTTTGAGACCAGCATAGATAATGCTGGAATGAATACTTAAGATCCACACTGATCTTTTTTTTTTATTAAGGTATCATTGATATACACTCACGCTGCCATCTTTAATCCTCACACTGATCTTTTAATGCATAAACAAATAACAAAGATAAAGAACTAAGTTTATAATAAATTCATTGGGGAGATAGATGAAACAAAGATAGTGGAAATATTGTTTTTTGAAGTGTGATTATGGGTACATGGGCAATCCTTCTACTGTATTGTATTCATGCTACTTTGGCATATATTTGAAAATAACATTAAAACAAAAAGGCCCCCATGTTAGAGCTCTTACCTAGTGCTCCATGAAAGAATATGTACCAGACTGATAGTATGGGCTACTTCTGGAGAGAAGGGGAAGAGACCAAGCCTGGGAGTGGAGTCAATGTAGACTTTATTTTCTATATTTCTTCTTACCTGTATAATTAAAAAATTTTTTTAATTGTGATAACAAGCAGTCATAGGGCTATGGATGATTTAGTCCAGCAAAATTTCTAATTGGGAAACAGGTTCCTTCAGACTCATCCCCCAGATGGCTCAGTGGGAGATGCTACAGAATCTTGACAGCCCATTTCAGGATCAGCTGCACCAGCTCTATTCAAATAGCCTTCTGCCAGTGGACATTCGACAGTACTTAGCCATCTGGATTGAAGACCAGAACTGGTGAGGCCTTCAGGAAGCTGAGGGTGGGAGGGATGAGATCAAGGTTTTCTTTTTGAGCTGCCAGGATCCTGGAGACACCGAGGGATGGAAGGGGTTGGAAGGCCTCAAGAGAGTACTGATCCTTGTCATTTCTGACCCCAGGCAGGAAGCAGCACTGGGCAATGATAACTCCAAGGCCAACATGCTCTTCTTCCATTTCTTGGACCAACTCAACTATGAATGTGGCCACTGCAGCCAGGACCCTGAATGCCTGTTGCTACAGCACAACTTACGAAAGTTCTATCGGGACATCCAGGTACTTGGAGGAGCCAGGAATGACAAAGTGAGAATGAACGCTGAGGGTGAACGAGTACAGTTTAGGGTGTGGAACAGGACCTGGAGGTGCAAAGGGGGACGGACAGGCAGAAAGGGAGACTTGGGGGATCACTGGCAGAGTCCAGATGACCCTGTCGTGAAAAGGCTAGGGCTTGGGGTACCGGCGGTGAAAAGGGGAACAGCCAAGGCTCAAGGAGGAAGGGGGTACTGGAGTCACTGGTGGGGAGGGGCTGGGGCGTAGGTCACTGAAGGCAGTTGGGTTCAATCCGTCCTGTCTCTTCCCACTGCAGGCCTTTCCACAGGGCCCTACACAACTGGCTGAGATGATCTTTAATCTCCTTCTGGAAGAAAAAAGAATTCTGATCCAGGCTCAGAGGGCTCAGTCGGTGAGAACAATTTGGTAGTGACGTTGCAAGTTCCTGGGGTAGAGAAGGACAGTGGAAAGGACTCAGGAAATTCGTCTAAGAGCCAAGATCCCCACATCCTGTGGTATAGTTTCAGTCCTGGAGTTCAGAGATAAAAGGTGAGAAATGAAATGTGCTCAAGAGTCTCTTATTTCAGGAGCAAGGAGAGCCAGCCCTCAAAGCACCTGTGGAGAGCCAGCAGCATGAGATTGAATCCCGGATCCTAGAATTAAGGGCTATGATGGAGGTTAGTAGATGTGGCGAGAGTCCAGGTGGACAGGGCTCCACCTGCTTCCTCCCACAGAAGCAGCCTCATATGGGTCTCATCCCCTCTACAGAAGCTGGTGAAATCCATCTGCCAACTGAAAGACCAGCAAGACATCTTCTCCTTCCGGTATAAGACCCAGACCCCAGGTAAGAGGCATGCTGAGGGGTGGAAGGAACACAGGTGCCTGCTAGGAGGCCAAGGGCAAAGCCAGAAAGCAGTAATCACCTTTGGCTGCACCTCACTATCTGTGGTCCTGCTGCCACACAAGGCTGGATGTACCAGGGTATGTGGCAGAGGTCAGGCCAGAGGTGTGGCTGAGGGACAGCTAGGGAATGTCAGAGGAGATGCATGGTAAACTGCCTTAGCAGACTGAGTGGACTTCTGACTCAAGCTTGACCATTCAGAATTTGCCCAAGGGCCCAGGGGGCCTTGTGCTTTGCTTGGTTCCTCCTGTTTTCCCTTCAAAAATTCCCCCTCCTGACTCTGGGTGAGGTCCTGGTCAGGAAGGAGCAGGGAGGGGCCCTGGGTCTGACTGCTTGTCTCATGCCTGCTCCTATCATCCAGTGAGGACACCCTCTTTGGACCCCCGTCAGACCAAACAGCAGCAGCTTCTGCAGGAGACTCTCAATGAACTGGACAAAAGGAGAAAGGTGGGAGTGGGCAGCAGGGAACTAGGGAACATGAGGCATCTGGGAGCCCTGAGCCCTTAGCCTTGGCTTCTCTGTCTCTTTTTCCTCAGTTACATGGTGGGGAGGGGTGGGAAGAAGTACTCAGCACTCACCTTACGTCTTTACTAGGAGGTCCTGGATGCCACCAAAGCACTGCTTGGCCGACTAACCACCCTGATTGAGCTCCTGCTGCCCAGGTTAGAGGAGTGGAAAGTCCAGCAGAAGAAAGCCTGCATTGGAGCCCCCCTGGACGTTGGGTTGGAACAGCTGGAGAAGTGGTGAGAGGCACTTCCCCACCCTCATTCTTGCCCAAGTCCTACTCCTAGCCATCTCTCTGTGCTTTGTAAGTTGTAATGCAATAGGAGCTGCTCTCCTTAGTGTCTGCTCCCCAGAATGATCCTAGCTCCTGGGTCTGACTGCAGCTACACTAGGCTCTTCATTCTCACCACCCAGGGAGCCCAAAGCCAGGCTTTGCTTTGGTGAAAATAATGGATTTGATCCACAATCTGGTTTCTCCTTCCTCTTTAGTCATCCAAGAAATATATTTTCTATTTTTGTTTTGTTTCATTTTAAAATATTTTATTGGAAACCTTTTGACAAAATCAAGTACTTGTGTTTCTAGGCAGTTTCTCCCCCATCCCCAGTAAGTTGACAGTTTCTCACACAGGTTAATGCAGGAAAGATGTAGACTCCTTGGATCTGACCAGCACAGATAGAGGATGTCCTTGGTGTCAGCTAAATCCCCAGCAGCCAGGGAGAAGGGGCATGGCTCTTTACTTCTTGTCACAGCCTGCAGATGTGGAGGGAACGTTACCTAGGCAGCTTAGCTACCTCAACAGCATGTCTGGAGGGTAAATAGCAAGCCTTAGCTCTTCAGTCACCAGGTTGGTGCCCAGTCTCTGATGGGGCACTGCCCCTGCCTGGACTTCCAGAGCTCTCATGCTTTATCCAAGGATAATACACCAGTGGCCATCGTAAAACCCCACTGTAGTGCTGTGGACCAGCCTGTGAAGATCAGGGGCATGCAGGCTGCTGTGCAAAGCTGGGGCAGGGCGCTGGGGCCCACCGCCTTCCCTTTGGGTAGAGGTATGGCAGCAGCCAGCACACCATAGGGCCCCATTTCTGCTGGCGAGTTCATGCAAAAGAGAGCAAGAAATATGTTTTCTTTTTTTTTTTTTCTGCAATGAATATAATACAAAGAAAGAGAGAGAGAAAAAGGAAATTACCTAATATCTTACTACCCAGACATAGTTTAATATTATTAAACAAAAATTGAATCATAGTCTTCATACTGTTTTGATACCTGTTGGATTTTGGGTTTTTTTAACTTAGCAGTATATTTACTCATGTTCCTTTAATGGCCGCATTATAGTTCCCTATATGGAGGTAACTTAATTAATGAACTCCTGTTTGGGGGCACTTAGGTTGTTTTTAATTTCTTGCTGTTTTTTCCAGTAAGCTCTTTATTTATATTAATTTTATTGAGATATGGAAAAAAATAACTGTGTCATTCAATATACTTGAAAAATAACTTTTAAATATTTTCTCATGACAAAATTCATTATAATTCAGACTATTAAAAATGTAGCACAACTATTCAGATAAATTGAAAATAGTTTATAAGGCTTAGGGTACAGGATCAGTATTTAAATTGCAGTTGCAAACGCATCCATCATTACGTGTAGGGGTTGGCAAACTAGACCTATGAATGATTTGCTCTTTTAAACAGTGCTGCAGTAAATGTCCTCATAGCTACATCTTCATTTACATCCCTAATTATTTCTATAATATTAATTCTTAGAAGTGGTATTCCTTGGTTAAAGTGTATACCTTTTCTTGTTTGTGGTGTTATTGTTATTGTTGATCTTTTGTTTCATTGTTTTTAATAGAGCTTTATTGCTTTTTCTGATTATAAATATAATGTATATATCATTTGAGAAAAATTCAGAACAAAAGAGAAAATGAAGTAAAAACCACCTGTCTTCATGATTTGGTCATGCAGGAGTAACCTATGCATTAATGTGTGTAAGGCACTTAGAATAAATAGTACCTACCAAGCATCATGTGAAAGTCAGCTTTATTATGTTAATTAGTCTTTTACTAGTTTTATATGTGCAAGTGGCTTTGGTTAGTGCTTTTGAATACATTTTCTTCAGATTTTCCCTATGCATATAAACAAATTCATTTACTTTAAATAGAAGCAGGATCTCATCATATATGTACTATCTTGTAGGATCTCATCATATATGTACTATCTTGTAATTTTAAGAAATTTGTTATCTTTGGATACTGAATTTTCTGTGTTAATTTGAGCCTATATCATTATTTTTAATGGTTGTGTAGTATTCCATGATGTGACTGCCATCATTCATATACCTAATACCAACTTTTTCTAATTTTTCTCTTCCAAATAACAAAGCCATGAACTTCCTTGCACATTTTTCTGATTATTTTCTTAGACATATCTTAGAAATGGATTTCTGCAAATTTTGTGTACATTTTTTGAGGCTTTTAAAAAAATGGTTCTAAACTGCTATCCCAATCTTTTTGTTGATATGTAGTGAATGAGTGTTTTCTGTTATTATTTTTTACTGTAGAGACAAACCATAGAAGCTGAAGGTATGGATTGTGCAGAAGACTGCCTACATTGCATACAACTTCATTGTAGTTGCATGACCTTGAGGGAGTCCCTGAATCTCAGTTTTACCATCTGTAAAGTGGGAGTGATGAAAGTACCTGCCTCATAAGGTGGTTGTGAGGATTAAATGCATTAATGTGTGTAAGGCACTTAGAATAAATAGTACCTACCAAGCATCATGTGAAAGTCAGCTTTATTATGTTAATTAGTCTTTTACCAGTTTTATATGTGCAAGTGGCTTTGGTTTTCACTTCTTGGACCATGAATCATGTTGCATAATCCTGCACATGCTTCCTGGGTTCCTTTTTTGTCTCAGTTGGTTTCTGACTCGCCACATAAAGGAAGTCTTAGCTTGTTTGGAGACTCTGTGAAGCTCACTGATTCTCTCTCCCTTGAATTCTGTCACCCAGGTTCACAGCTGGAGCAAAGCTGTTGTTTCACCTGCGGCAGTTGCTGAAGGAGCTAAAGGGACTGAGTTGCCTGGTTAGCTATCAGAACGACCCTCTGACCAAGGGGGTGGACCTGCGAAAGGCCCAGGTCACAGAGCTGCTGCAGCGGCTGCTCCACAGGTCTGGAGGCTGGGGAATGACCTTTTAGGGAAGGCAGAGGAAAGGAACACGGGGACCCGTTCTTACAGAGACTGAACTATATATATTCTCTCCGCATCTCTCTCCCCAGTGCCTTTGTGGTAGAAACCCAGCCCTCCATGCCCCAAACTCCCCATCGACCCCTTATCCTCAAGACGGGGAGCAAATTCACTGTCCAAACAAGGTTGGCATTTCAGAGTTCCCCGATCCTTCCTTTTCTAGCCCCAGCCTTGTTCACTTTCTGATTTTACTGACCTTCCCACCCTTGGCCTCCTCTTTTCCCTTCAATCCACCTACTGCTTCTGATCTCTTACCTTTCTCAAACATCTGGTCTATCCAGAAGACTGAGATTGACCACTGTCCCCCATCTGCCTCCCTTCCAGGCTGCTGGTGAGACTCCAGGAAGGCAATGAGTCACTGACTGCAGAAGTCTGCATTGACAGGTAGGTTGAGGCAGGTGAAGGGCGGGACCAAGGGGTAGCCAGGGCCTGGGCTGGTCGGGTGGAGGAGACACACACTTTTCCTAATAGGGCCTCGGGGCTGTGCTCATCCCCCTCCCATTTCTACCTCAGAAATAGTAACTCATCCCCTTGTTGACACTTAACTCTGTGGCATTCAACTTGTCACATATTCATTTAATTGTCATAGGAATCTCAGAGTTCGGTATTATCAACACACCATTCAAATGATGAAGCCAGCTCAGAGAGATTAGCTAGTGAGCTATAGATTTGGGTTGGAACTCAGATCTGACTGATCCCAAAGGCCAAAGTCCTAACTTCTACAGTTTTGCTTCCCAATGATTTTTTTCTATTTCTCTCCAGGAATCCTCCTCCATTACAAGGGTAGGTACCTGACCAGGATGCTGGAAACATCTGTGCAGAGCTTGACCTGCATTACCACAAAGGGACCCAGACTGGGAGGAGGCTGATACGGGTGTTCGGGCAGAGGGAGAAGGGTGGTCTGACACGAACTGGACTTTGTTTCCTGCTGAGTTTTTAGAGTAACTCTGCTCCTGTCCTCTGTATATCTTTGTCCTCCTGGTATAGCTTCCGGAAGTTCAACATTCTGACCTCAAACCAGAAAACTTTAACCCCCGAGAAGGGGCAGAGTCAGGGCTTAATTTGGGACTTCGGCTACCTGGTAAGAAGCTTAAGCTTCTAGTCCAATGGAACAGGCCAGGGGAGGTTCCCAGGCCTTGGGAACTTGAGGGCAAGATGGGTTCTCACTCTGGGGTCCTTAAGTGGACCTTGGGGACCCTACTGTGGCATTGTGTCTCTTTCCCATCCATTTGCAGACTCTGGTGGAGCAACGTTCAGGTGGTTCAGGAAAGGGCAGCAATAAGGTGAGCCTGGACAGAAGGCAGGGGCAAGAGGGACTTGCCAAAGGGCTCTCTGACCCGTGTCTTCTGCTGTGCAGGGGCTGCTGGGGGTGACAGAGGAACTGCACATTATCAGCTTCACAGTCAAATACACCTACCAGGGTCTGAAGCAGGAGCTGAAAGTGAGTGACAGTGGAGAGCAGGGAAACGTGCAGCAGATGATGGAGAAGGCATAAAGGGGTTAAGCAGAAGCCTCTGAGGGTGGGGTATTACCTCTTGCCCCTACCAGATGTCTGCAGCTAGAAACTCCACATCCCACCTTGTGACTCCTGTCTCTTCCCCAGGTGGACACCCTCCCTGTGGTAATTATTTCTAATATGAACCAACTCTCAGTTGCCTGGGCCTCAGTTCTGTGGTTCAATCTGCTCAGCTCCAACCCCCAGGTAGGAGGTGGGGCCAACAAGTGAAGGTGGTGGGAGGGGTGTGAGGCCACTGCCTCTGAGCCCCTATACTCCTCTGTCCCCTGCAGAACCAGCAGTTCTTCTCCAGCCCCCCCAGGGCCCCCTGGAGCTTGCTGGGCCCTGCTCTCAGTTGGCAGTTCTCCTCCCACATTGGCCGAGGCCTTGACACAGACCAGCTGAGCATGCTGAGAGACAAGCTATTTGGTACAGACCTTTTCTCTCAGCCTTTCCCCACCTTAGTCTCCCTGGCCCTACCTCCTTCCATCATCTGAACTGTCTGTGTGTCCACAGGGCAGAACTCTGGGACTGAGGATGCACTGCTGTCCTGGTCCAACTTCACTAAGGTAACTCCTGCATCCTGTGCCACTGGATCTAGCCCCCAGTGCAAACAGTAGCCCTTACCCTCAGGTGGGGATTGGGGAGGGCAGTTCCAGATCACTTGGCTTTCTATTCCTCCTGCAGCAAGAGAGTCCCCCTGGCAGGCTGCCATTCTGGACATGGCTGGACAAGATTCTGGACCTGGTGCATGACCACCTGAAGGATCTTTGGAATGATGGGTGAGGCCTTGGTCAGCCTCCCCCAGCCCTACCCCACCCCCACTGACTGCTCCCCCAGGCCCAACTGCCTTTCTGGGCTTGAGAGTGGATCTGTGCACCCTCATGTGGCAAAGCGGGAAACAGAACAAGAGCTGGAGCAAGGTCGCACTCCTCACATTAGCGGTAACAGTCCTAGCCAGCATTTGTTAAGCAGCTGCTGTGTTTCAGAGCTTTTGTGGGTTTTCTCATGTAATTCCTACAGCCACCCTGATGATGGGTGTTCACTCTCAAGTGAGGAAACTAAGGCTCAGAGAGGTTAAAGAACTTCCCCGAGGGGCACAGTTGGGATTCGATCCCAGGCCCGTCTGACCCCTGGCCTATGCACCTTCCACCACTGCTAGCCCATGTGTACAGCACTGTACCTTTTCATTTCTGTCACCTTACTGAATCCTCATGCCTCTTCCAGCCCTGGGAGGTAGATACTGTCAGTAAAGTGAAGCGATCTGTAAAGAGCAGAACCAGGACCAGAAGCTGGTGCTCTCCACATGCAAGGGTGCCTAGGGGCCATGGGGCAGGAGGGCAGGAGGGCCTCATAGCTGCTTTCTGTGCTTAGACACATCATGGGCTTTGTTAGCCGGAGCCAGGAGCGTCGGCTGCTGAAGAAGACCATCTCTGGCACCTTCCTGCTGCGCTTCAGTGAAACATTGGAAGGGGGCATTACCTGTTCCTGGGTGGAACACCAGGATGATGGTCAGCTGCTCCACCCTGTTCCCATAGCCTCCCCTTTCTGCCCTTGGCTTCCCTGGCTCCATTCTGAACCCCTTGGCTGCTTTGGTACTGGACAGCCAGGGTGGGGAGCCCTTAGGCCCAGCCTCTTCCCTCAGATCTGCCTGTTCCTACATCCACTCTCCAGATAAAGTGCTCATCTACTCTGTGCAGCCCTTCACCAAGGAGGTGTTGCAGTCACTCCCGCTGACCAAAATCATTTGCCACTACCAGCTGCTCACTGAGGAGAACATACCTGAGAACCCACTGGTCTTCCTCTACCCCCGAACACCCCGGGACGAGGCTTTTGGGCACTACTGCCAAGAGAAAGGTGAGAGTCATTGACACCTTCACTGCTAGAATCTGGGGATTCTAAGGCACCCACAGATCCAGCTCCTTCCTTCCAAACATGGGAACGCTGATACCCAGGGAGGGACACTTCCAGTCAGCAGAGAGACATGAGAATCGGGACGAGGGGACTGCACTCAGGGACCCTGAGGCTGTGTGTCCACTCCTGTGTGCCCACGTCCTGTGTCTGTCTCCCACAGTGAATCTCCAGGAACGAAGGAAATACCTAAAGCATAAGCTCATTGTGGTCTCTAACAGGTGAGATACGAACTCTCCCTAACCCTCCTTGGCTGATGCAGTGAGGCAGATTTGCCCACTTTGCCTCATTTCACCTCTCTGGCCTTCTCTCCTCCTGACCCACATGTGCAGCCCTCGAGGTGTTTTCCTGCTCTTCTAGTCTCTGCTCTATTTCTGCTGCCCAGGGTTTTGTCTTCCCAGGGGTTCCCTGATAATAAGTCAAATCATTATCATATTATTAACATTACTGATGTTCATGAGTATGTACTTAACACTAAGCATGGTACTAGATTTTTGTGGAACTTTTTTTTTCATTTAATCTTTGTAAGAACCCATCCAAGAAAATAACAGCCATATTTAATGAAACCTTTTTACATGTCAGGCACTGAGCAGCTAAATGCTTTATGTTCATTTTCTCATTTATTTAATCTTCATACTAGTCCTGTGAGGCAAACACTGTTACTACTGTTTTCAGCTGAGCAAACTGAGGTTTAGTGCCGGGAAGTAGCGTGCCTAAGGTACGTGGCTAATAAGTGATCCAGGCCTCCGATGCCAAAGCCCTGCTTTTAACCATCCTACTTCCTCTCAAGTATTTTTAGGTATTGTTATTCCCATTTTAAGCTGAGGCCGATAAACCTGAGGCTCAAGGAGGTTAAGTAACTTGACTAAGGTCATCCAGCTAATAAGTGGTAGGATTCAAATTCGGGCAAGCCAGACTCCAAAGCCCAGGCTCTTAAGCCCCCTGTTCTGTTGCCTGCTTAGTGCAGAGGGACCTGCTTGCTCTGTCTTTCCCCACTTCCCCTAACAGCTGAGCCTTGCCCCTTGTCTGTGGTGCGGTGTCCAGACAGGTGGACGAGCTGCAACAGCCCCTGGAGCTTAAGCTGGAGCCAGAAGTGGGGTTATCAGAGCCGGAGCCGGGGCTGGAGTTGGAGCCACTGCTAGAGGCAGGGCTGGATCTGGGGCCAGCGCTGGAGCCCCTGCCGGACCCCACACTAAGTGTGGCATCACAGAGAGTAGCCAAGCCAGATCTGGGATCAGAATTGAAGCTGGAGCCTGTTTTAGGGCCTATAGCACAGCCAGAGCCAGAGCCAGATTTGCCCCATGATCTGAGACATTTGAACACTGAAGAAATGAAAAGTAAGTGATGAGATGGGGCTAGGGAAGAGGGGATGTAATCCCTTTCCCAGCTCCCCTCCCTCACCCATGACAGAAAAGCTCCTCACTGGAGAGCGGTTCATTCCCTAGTGATCGTTGCATTAGGAAATGTACATGCCTCCCCGTGCCTGCCTCAGTGCTCCCTCAGGCCCCATCCAGGGTCTGTTGTCATCCTCCCTCATTGGCTTTGCTGGGTTGGGAATTCCTTGCCTAAGATCAGAGCCTGACTTCTTCCTCTGGTTACCTAGTCTTCAGAAACAGTATGAAGATTGAAGAAATCATGACAAATGGTGACCCACTGTTGGCTGGCCAGAACACTACGGAGGAGGCTTACGTCTTCCACCCCAGCCATTTCTACACGGATGGGCCCTTGATTCCTTCTGACTACTAAGAACTACATACCCTTTGTTCTTTCCATAATCTTGTGGCCCTCTTTCCCCCCACCTAAGGATGTTGCTTGCCAAGGATGGGAAATTGTGCACGGGCCCTTTCTAAACCAGGTTAATTCTGATTTGGGGTGGGAGGTGAAAGCATGTTGTGGGTACCAGTGAATCAGCACAGCTATTGGCCATGACTCTAACTGGGATGCTGGGGGCTGCTTCTCTGTTGGAGATGCAGACTTCTGGGGCAGGCCAGGGCAGTTAGGGGGTACTTGGAGGTCTCAGGGCCATGGCTTCTTCCTGGTATGGAAGGATTTCAACATTTTAATAGCTGGTATGGCTAACCTCATGCCCACTGGCATTGGCTCTCAGCGGGGAATGGGGACATGTGATAGGACTCCATTTCACTCTCTGGTGTGTAGGACACCCTTTTCCTTTCTTCTTCCCCTCACTCCTCAACCCCTAAATTTCTTCTTTCCCTGCAGGGACTGAGAGCTTTCTGCCTCAGCCCCATGTGAGACTCCCTTCTGAGGAAGGGAATAGGAGGTAGACCCATCTCCTCCAGACTTTTCTTGCCAGTCTCCTCCCTTGACCCCCAAGCTGGCCACACCCATTTCAACCCTACAGTGATCCTACCAATCTAATTTGCCTGTAAAGCCTTGCACAATAATTTATTCTGCCTTGTCTCCATTTCTCCAGTGCTTAGGAGACACATCACTCCTGCAGGCCACGGATGTTTGGGTTGCTGGGAATTTAGGAATTGTTCTGTAGAGTATAGACAAGATTTGATATTTTTACAGAGGAGAAGCCCTGGGTCTTAGATATTTCTCTATGAGGATATCATTTCTTTTCTTTTGTACAGTGTATCATATACCTAAAAACAGTACTTCTATTCCTTGGGCATGGACCTGGGTAAAGACTACAGACTACGTTCCTGGAACTTAGAACCTTGAAGGTTTACCATGGGACTGCAGACAACCTCCTACCTTAGCTGTTCCCAGGGAACCCCAGGACAACTGCTGTTGCTGTAACTTGTGCTCCTAGTATAATTTGAAATGCAAACGAAAGTGCTGCCCTGTACATGTGGCTGTTTCTTGCCTGGAACAGCCCCATTCAGAAAGGTCCTTCTGAGTACAAGTGGCTAATAAACTTTGTGCTGACCTGGAAATGCTTTCTATCTGAACTTTGTTACTTCTCTTCTCACAAAGTCTCCAGTGTCCTTGAAGACACCAGCAGGCCATGTATGATCAAGGCCAGCAAACCATGACCTATCTTTCCATTACCTACCCCCTACCCCACCGAATGCCCCTCATCTTACTTCTTACATGTTTAGAGCAGCATTTCCTGTTCCTCAGATTCTCACAGCTGGTCTGTGAGCTATGAGCTGGGGGAGAAGTATATAACTTAACCCATTGTCACTCAGCTGTGGCAATGGGTGGCAAAAGCCACAATACGAACCTGGGTCTGTGTGACTCAAAAGCTCATGCCTTGCACTGTGACTGGAGGAAGGAGAAGGAAATAATCACCAACCTCTTCCCCTCCTCCCTTTCAGAGGTATTTTAGCTCCCCTTGGGTAATCAAACCCTCTGAAGGAACCCAGAGATGTCAAGGGAGGATACCATTAATTTGGAGGGTTTACCTTCATCTTCCTGGAATGCCCTTTCTCCTCTGACAGAGACCAGGGCTTCTGTCTTTGGCCAAATACACTCTTGGCCAAGAAAGCAGGGAAGGAAGCAGCAGATCAGCAAGAGAGGGGCCACACTTTCAGGTGCTGCTTCCTAATCTCAACCCCTTGTAATTCCATTCAGTTTGCTTAGCCATACAGGAATTAAGACCAAAAAGATCCCAGTTACTCTATATTCCAGGAAGTCATAAGGAATTAAGTATCTTGTCCCCACTGTAGCCAAAAGAGTAGAAGGATGCTGATTGTAGCCCCTAGGCTCTATTTTTCCATTTTGTTTTTTTCCCAACCAAACCTAGAAATTAGACTCAGATGTCCACATATATGTCTTTATTAAAAAATGCATAATTCAGTATAAATACAATAAATAATCCTCTCCAAACTGCTGCAATGAGGATAAATAATCCCAAATTTGCTCTTTAAATTTAAATAATGAATACTCAACCTTGTCCTAGGTCAGTAACACAAGTCAGTCAGTACTGGTAATTTTTTAACATACGCAAGTCCCATTAGAATTAATGAGCCCACTTGTCTCACAGGTGCCTGGGCTGATAGATGGCACCTTGGCACTGCTGAGCCATGGAGATGTGGGTGCCATCCTGAAGCTGTCAGCCTTAGGGGCTCAGAGTTGCTCCATGGGCAAAGACCCGGGTGGCTGCAGCTATAAAGGCCTGCAGGCTGCGAAGGATCTTGAGGCGGAGAAGGAGGCGCTGCCACGGCTGGCTGGCACTGGGGCTTGGAGTCCGCTCAGTTTCCCAGTGGTGACCCTCTGGCTGAGAGGACACAGGACATAATCAGAAAGGACTCTAGATCCTTCATGCCCTAGACCCTGTCTCTTGACACCTGCCAGCCCCCATCCTCCAGGCCCCAAGTTCATACCTGCAAGAGTTGCCTGAGGCCTAGTAAGGAAGCCTGAAGCTGGCCTACTGGGCCATCAGGGAGTAGAGTAGGCTCCCCTGTGAAAATGTCTGAGCCCAGCAACTTCTCGTAAAAGACCAGGCCCTGGTGGATCCTTTGCAAGCAGGACTTGGGAGAAAAGAAAGTGATGAAAGTAAACGGATATCCTTTTCCTACTACACTCACTGAAGTCTAACCCAGTTCTTGTCATTCTTAGACACTGCCATGGTCTGAATGTTTGTGTCCACACAGAATTCATGTTGAAATCCTGACCCCCACTGTGGTGATGGTATCAGGAGTTGGGACCTTGGGGAGGTGACTGGGTCATTAGGGTGGAGTCCTCTGAATGACATTAGTGGTGTTATAAAAGAGACCCACAGAGCTCCCTAGCCCCTTCCACCCTGTGAGGAGACCAGAAGTCTGCGACCTGGGAAAGGGCCCTCACGCAACCTGAACTTGGACTTCCAGCCTCTGGAACAGTGAGAAACAAGCTTGTTGCTTATAACCATAGACCAAATCTATAGTATGCTGTCATAGCGGGCCAAACATTCAAGGACAGGTAGAATTTTTACCAGTTCCCCATGGTGCCCAGCTGTGTCCCCAGTCCCCTCTTCCTTGTGGCTCCATCATGGTACCTGGCTGTTGTCCCTGAGTCCTTGGGGATCACAGCCGTCCGCACACTGGATATGAGGGGCCTCATTTGTAGTCTCATCATCTCCTTCTCTTGGTAGTTCCTGGGATGGAGGAGCGGGTAGGAAGAGTGAAGGAATAAGACAAGTACTGTGAACCCCACCTGGACTCAGGCCCTGACTCTCCCACCACCACCCTCTCATCTCTGATGGCTTTCAGGCCTCCAGCTTCCCCCCAAGAGCAGTCTCCCTGCAGCCTTGGAGAGCAGGGACAGGCTCTTCTGTGGACCCAGGGCATCACTCACCACGTGTCCCATTGGTGGGTGTGCACTCCAGGCCAGTGTGCAGAGCTTCTGGGAGAGCTGCTGGCACTGATCCCAGGCGGGGCGACTATGCTCAGGCACAGTCTGGCCCTGCGCGGGCCAGACCAGCAGCGCCAGCAGCAGGGCTCTACTCCCCAGGATCCCCATGGCTTCTTACCAGTCGGCTTTGTGCTGCACAGGGCCCTGTGGATCCCTGCCCACTTCCCCTGGCTCCGAGCCTGCTCCTCTCTGTCCTGTGCCTCTCTGTTCACTGAGTCTCTGAGCTGCTTCCTGTTGTTTTCCTCCCCGTGTCTGGGAGTGTCTTTTTAAGGTCCCTGCATTTTAAGACCCGCCCTTTCTACTGGCAGGTGACTCACAGCAGGTGGGATTTCCCTCCCAGCAACATCCCCGCCCTGGAGAGCCCAGGTATGCAGCCTCAGTTCCAGGGGAAATGAGTCGTGGTTGCTGTGGCTGGAGGCCTGGGATGGGATGTCTGTGTAATGCTCTTCAGGAATAGAAATGGCTGTGGAGAGGAGTGGGGTTAGGAGTAACAAATATTTAAATGATTTAGTCTCAAGTTCCTTCCTGTTTAACCTTTCCCCCATTTTTTTGCCTCTCAAAGCTACACCCCCACCCCTTCCTAATTTCCTTATCTCTTCCTGCCTGAGGAAAAAACAAAATAGAAGCATTAGTTTATCTCCCAATAGGATGTAAATTCAGTTTGGAATGAAGTTTGGTTCTCCCCTCCTGTCCTCACTCAAAAATAAGGGGGCTTCTTTTTCTCCTCTGGGCACAGTGTTATTTTCACTGGGGGAGAATGGATGCCACTTAGGCCTTGCTGTGGGGGCCAGGAGGGCTCTTGGAGGCAGAGAAAGTTGTTACCAAGAACCATCTGATTCCTCAACCTCAGTGGCCCTAAGTTTCAGTTTCTGTGGGGTTCAAGTGATGGTTCTTTTGGGACACCAGTGTAAGCAAGGACTTGGAGTCCGGTTTAGATATTCCAGCCCCAAACCACTACCTGAAGGCTAGGAAGTCCAGGAGTTCTGGGTAGTTGGAGGTGTACAGAGTCAAGGACCAAGGCTGGTCCTTCAGCCCGTTGCATCCACTGGTAAACTCCACTGACACTGATTTCATCATCCTCCCTGATGCAACATCCAGTGAGACGGCTGAGGGTGAGGTTGGGCGTGGGAGTGCAGGGTGGTCTGGACCGGGACTGCCCCAACCCCAGTGGAGGGTCCCAGAACAATTTAGACGTCAGAATGAGGCCATGGATGACCACACAGATGGCTCCAAAAGCCTCCCCAAAGAGTTTTCCCCTTCAGCTCTGATAAATTTATTCTTCATAGAGGTCTCCCTGCATTCAGAACTCTTCAAAACTGCCCAATGGAACCTGTGATTCAGATATTATGACTGATAAATTAGTTTGGATAAAACATTTCCAGCATCAGAGAGGTTATCTCAGTTTAAGTGAGAAATGTTTGCCTCTCCCTACATTCATTCGATCTGAGTAAGGAAACCAGTGTATTTTGGGGGTGGAGTTTACTTCACTGGTGTATAATGTCTCCTAAGCTCTTCCTACCTCTAGTCCCAATTCTGGGAGCCCGAAAGGATAAGAGATGAAAGGGGAAGAGGAGGAGGAGGAAGCGGTGCCTTGGCGGATGGAGTGAGTTGGAGGCATGGGGCTCTGCTGCTTTGTTTCACTTCCTGGTGTTTCATGAGTTGGGTAGGAAGCAAGGTTGGTGGGGTGACTGTGGGACTGTTGTGTGGCAGAACTGCTTTCAGGGCTAGATCTTGACCTGGGCTACAAGGATCCCCTGATGTCAGCAGGACCTCAACCGTTATGCAAATCACATTCACAAGACACTCCTAAGCAGTGGAATGAATGTCTTTCCAGTCGGATGCCCCTACTCCGGATTCAGATGAAGTTCCCTCAGGTAGCTGATGGCTAAAACATAGCCAACTCTCACGGTAGGCCAAGTCCTTGGTCTAAACACTTTTCATGTATTAATTGATTCAATTCTCAAAACAATCTATGAGGTAGATACTACTGTTATCTCCATATTACAGATGAGGAAACTGAGGTGCAGAGAAGTTACTTGCCCAAGATCACAGAGCTAAGTGGCAAGAATTCCAGTGTAGACAATCTGGCTTCAGATCTTGCATTCTCAATCACTGCATTTTCCCGGACACTGAGCATCCTTTATAAAGTAGCTAATTTAGCCCAGGTATCTCTGGCAATCTCCCACCCTCTACGTCTCATGGATCAGTGAAGTTTTTCTCGATTTGAGACCTCAATATGGAAATTTCTCAAAGTGTAGGAACTGTCTAGGTCTCTCAGCACCCATCTTTTTGCAAGATTTTAATTCTAGGGACCTGTGAAGTCAGATGAGTTTGAGAGACCCTCTTGAGTTTTTCTCTTGATATATGACCTCTGACAGTCTAGCACCCCTCTAAATCCTGGAAGTCTAGATTCTGGGGTCCTTTTATCAGTCTATTTACCAGCCTTTACTGAGAGACAGAAATGCTTTAAAACTGTACCCTCCATGACAAATTTCTCCCACCAAAGGCCCTCTGTGTGGCCTTTAAAAGCTGGGCTAAAGTGCCCTGGGAGACATCTCACAACCTGGCCCCATTCCAAAACAATTTAAGCGCAGAGTCAGGACCCAAGAATCCCTCATAACTGGTGACGCTGAATCTGTTGAGTTCGGGAGGACAAATGTCTCAATCCGCCGTGCTCACACCCCTCTGAGGGATAATGTCCAATTCCGAGAGCCAGGGGAATTTGATAGCTGAAGGGTCCTATTCCAGGGGGATGTTACCAGGGCCTCTGGGGAAATACTCTCAGATGGGAGTTTCTGACGGATGCCTTTAGATTGTAGAAGATGCAGATGCTTGGGCAGTGTTAGGAGCCTGGCTCTCGCTTCCTTTTTTTCTCCTCCCATGCCTGCAAATGATAGGAAGTGCCGGCGAGTTTCGGGGGCAACAGGGTCGGAGGCGGCGGAGCGGCTCACAATGGCACTGCGGAGAGGGGATGGACTGGGCCACGCTGGGAATACCCAGCGGGCGGTTCCCAGCGCTTCCCCGTGGGTGGGTGGGTGGGGGCGTCTAATGCAGGCTCCTAAAGTTTGTAGGGTGCATGAAGGTTCGTTTCCTAAACTGTTCCTAAACTGGGCTCTCTAATCTTGCCCAAAGAAGGGCTCAGAAAGCAGCGCCGCTCCCAAGGTCGGCGCCCAGGTCTGTACGAACAGCGGGGCGGAGCGCGCTCGGCGTCGCGCACCATCGCGCGGCCGTGGCCCAGCCCCTGCGTCTCCAGCATCCCCGCGGAGCCGCCGACCTGGCTCCCTCGGATTGGCCGGTGAGCACAGGCCCTTCCTGGTTGGGAGCGCCGGCGCGCAGCCCGTCCTCCTTGACGCCGGAGAGTTAGGTTGAGCGAGAGGCGCGGGGAAGATTTGGGGAAATTGGAATTTCCCGCGGAGCTGACGGCGCTTGCTCTCCCCCTACTCGTTTTAATTCCACGCGCTGCAAAATATCCGCCATGGAGAAATCTTGGTAATGACCCAATCCCCGTAAGCATCCCAGGAACACATCTGACCCCTGCTTAATTCCTCCCCTTCCCGCCGCCGCCGCCGCCGCCGCCGAATTATGGGTAATTGATTTCTCTGGTTCCCCAGGAGAATTCTGGGTAACTATTCATTTCCATCACATCCCCCTATCCCTGCCCCAATTGTGGATAACTGACCTTTCTCGTTTTCCCCCTAGAGAATCTTGGGTAACGCGGCAGAGGATTCTGGGAAACTGACTTGTCTTGTTCTCAACTCTCAACCCCCCACACCCACCCCTGATTCTGGAAAAAAAGCATCTTAGCCCTCTTTACCTACCCCGTAGTTGCTGCTCTGTCCACAGATGGTTCTAGAGTGAACCAGGCAAGTGAGCAGGCTTGAAGGGAGGTGAAAGGGAAGCCAAGGATTAGGGTAGATGGTGGGGCGGTGGGGCTTACTGAGGGCCTGGAGGAGCAAAGCAAAGAACAACACTTCTCCCATCTCAACCTCCCTGCCCATCCCTTTCCTGCCTATTTCATCCCCTGCTTATCATTCTCACATCTGTCTGCCTCAAATCCCTCCTGCGCACATAACCTAGAACACACTAAATACAAGTATCAGTGCCTACCCCTGACTCAGCTACCTCTTTCCCTTTGCAGGTCAGGATGCCCATTCTAGGCCCACTGGTGCTGTCCTATTAAAGGTCAGGTATCTGTGAAGGAGCTGTCGCAAGGGAGGGTGTGAAACAGGTCTAATCTGCTGCCATCATCATCATGAACTTCGAAGGTCTGGACCCTGGACTAGCGGAGTATGCCCCAGCCATGCATTCTGCCCTCAACCCTGTCCTGGATGCCCATCTGAACCAAAGTCTGCTACAGAATGTGGAGCTGGACCCAGAGGGAATGGCCTTGGAGGCTCTTCCCGGCCAGGAGTCAGTACACATAATGGAAGGTGTCTACTCTGAATTGCACAGTGTGGTGGCTGAAGTGGGTGTGCCTGTCTCCGTCTCCCACTTTGACTTGCACGAGGAGATGCTGTGGGTGGGATGCCATAGGGTAAGAGCTGTACCCCTTTGCAAGGGCTGAAAAGAGATACTGGAAGTCTTTTATCTGGACAGTCACTTTGCAGGGAGCCAGAACTGAATTGAGGTGATGAGAGTTAGCATGGTCTCTCAGTCAAGCCAAAAGGAGGGGAGGGGAGTGGAGTGAGAAAGAAGAGTTACAGAATCCAGGGAGGAGTTACACACAGGTATTCTTTTTCAGAAGACATCCCACTTCCACCACAATTTGCTCATTCCATGCTTTTATTGATCTTGATAACTATACCTGTCAGTCTATAGCCATCCAAATCCAGTCTCTTAATGCCCCTCCTCTTTTTTCCATTTTTATAATTATAGAATATATAATGCATGTTTCTGCATATCTTACATGGACTCATTTTGTCTTTTCTGGCTGATTTTTAATCTGAGCAATTACCAATGTTAATTTTTTTTAATGTATATCCATATTGCCAGTATGGTAGAGAGCCCAAAGATTTTGTAAGAAATAACACACTATCCATGCTTTACTAATTTACCTTCTACAGAGCATGAATTTTTTTTTCAGTAGAAATGAATTTTTTGGTCATGCATGCATCTCAGTAGGCAGTGTCTACTGCTATGCTAGGTCCAGGGAATAAAGCTATAAAATGTAATCCTTGCCTTCAAGGAGTTTACAGGTGAGAAAAAATAAGACATGAACAGATAATTTCATAGTACTTTAGAAGATACTAAACTGTTTTATGTATTAGTTATGGATTTAGGATAACAACTACTAAGTGCCAGTGTGGCAATATATACTGGGTGCTGGTGAGCATAGAGGAGGCTCAGAGGGCCTCCAAAAGGAAATGACATCTGAACTGAGTCTTGAGAGGTGAGTAGGAGTCAGTGAAAAGGGGAAAATTCTGTCTTGGCAAAAGCAATAGAATAAACAAAAGATTTCTGAGATATTACTCAGCATGGTGATTGCAGAGTGCGTGGACCATAAGCAATCGGTTTTTTGTGCTGGAAAATAAAGCTGAAGAGTTAAACATTTCTTCATTCAACAAGTTTTTTTTTTGAGCACCTACTAGGTGTCAGACCTTTCTCTGGGGTTTAGGTTTGGAATAAGCATTTAAAAAGGCAATAGAAGTACATTTATAGTCTAACAAATGTTGCTTATCCTTAGGAAAAATAAAGTGGAGCAAGGAGGTTGAGATAATGAAGAGTGGGAGTTGTTGCAGTTTGAGATAGTTGGTCAGAAAAGGTCTCTGATAAAGTCACATTTGAATAGAGACCTGGATGCAGGCCGGGATGTCCATTCTAAGTCCTCTGGAAGGAAAGGTAGGAGCCATGCAGACATTTGGAAAGAACATTCTAGAAAATCTCATATGCTTCATTAAAAGAGTTTGGATTTGATCTTTCAGGTCCCAGAAACTTTTTATCCAGAATGACGAGGTCTGATTCACACCTTAGGTGGAGTGCTGAGGTAGCAGTATAGAGTTGGACTTTGGGGGATGGGGCAGAACTCAGTGGGAGCAGTGTAGGCTGCTGTAGCAGTGTATGTAAATAAGAAGGCCTGAGTGAAGCACTACGAATAGGTACGTGTGGGAACAGATGTGGGCAACATTCAGTAAGTAAACAAGACAAGTTGGTTAGTAGTGACAGTCTACTGGCTAGCTCATGTTATCACATGGGACACAGTTCAGAAGAAATAGGGTAGAAACGAATTTAATTTAGGATGAAATGAATTTGAGGTCCTCGAGACAGCTAAGGAGATGTATTTGGTTGTATAAATCTGAAGCTTAAGGCAGTGGTCTGGGCTATGGAAGGAAATTAGGATTTATCAGCTTTAAGATGGATGGTTAAAACTTTGAGAGTAGATAAGAGAACTAGGAAGACAAGTAGAGTGAGAAGATAGTGGGCTGGGAATAGCCGTGTTTCAAGAGTGGTCAGAAGTAGAGCATATAAGGAGAAGGTATGAGCTAAGAGTCAGGAGAGAAACCAGGAGTAAATGACATCATAGCAGCCAAGGGTGGAATCGGTTTCACATTCTCTCTGTTCCAACCTGTGACCAACTGTTCACATCTCCCAAATGGCTGGTAGAGATTAAGACTTGACTGTGGAACATAAGCAAGGCAGTCGGCCAGTGGAGGGTTGGACCCACATCCCTGACCTTCTGAACACTGTTCTAACCAACTGAACCATACCTTGTTCAGCAGGGTCATTGTGAGGGTAAAATGAAGTAAAGTCTACAAAGTACTTTGTGAAACATTAAACAGATGTTAGATGGTACCATCAATGCCTTTGTTTCTAAGGTTCGTCCCCAGCCTTGTGCCTTTGTCACTGCTAGCCAGAAAGGCCAGGCAGCGAAGAAAAGCTGAGCAGCACCCAGCTATGCCCTGGATCTGGGGTGGCCTGGGCCCCCTGTTCAGGGTGTTTCTCGGCTTTCTGTCCTCTACAGGGCCATGCCACTTCGTTTTTTGGCCCAGCTTTGGAGCGTTACTCATCCTTTCAGGTCAATGGCAGTGATGATATTCGGCAGATACAGAGCCTGGAGAATGGTATCCTTTTTCTCACCAAGAACAACCTCAAGTATATGGCCCGTGGGGGCCTCATTATGTTTGACTACCTGTAAGTGGCTTCTCAGCTTTGTACTGGGAAGGAGGGTCTCTCATACAGTGGGAAGGTTGAAGGATGGGAAGCTCTCAAGATCCCGGCTTCTTAGCCTTTCCCGCCCGCACAGGCTGGAGGACAGTGAGGACATGCACAGTCTCCTGCTAACCAAGAGCAGCACTCTGCTTGTTGCTGGGCTGCAGAGCCACATTTTGGAAATTGACCTTAACACTGTCCAGGAGACTCAGAAGGTACAAGCCTGGGGCAGGAAAGACCCAGGCAGGGCCTGAGTGTTACTGGGTTCAGGATATACCTGGGCTGGGAAAGTGCTTGAGATGTGTGTGTGACCCTTCTGCCCTTTGGTCTGTGGGGAGAGTGGCTCCAAGTATTTTCTCCCACTTCCTTCCCCAGTATGCAGTCGAGACTCCTGGAGTCACTGTCATGAGGCAGACAAATCGCTTCTTCTTCTGTGGCCACACATCTGGCAAGGTGGCCAAGTTCCACTTTTCCTCCCACCACAGGGCCCTGTGTCACCAGATAGGGGATTGGGCTCTGCCTTCCCTTCAATTCTGGGGCTGTAGTTGGAGGGATGGGAAGAATGAATCTGTTCCTACTTAGCTGTATTATACTATGAGATGACCTCTCAACCTGATGGTTTCTGTCATAACTAAGTACCTTAGAGGCAAAAGGGTGAAAAGTCCTCCTTGGGGTCCCTTCCAGCTCTTGATTTCTCTGTTTGCCTTAATC